GCGTTGCTGGACGTGCTCGCGCGAGGGCGTGAGCTCCTGCCCATTGGTCGGGTCGTGAACGTGATCGGCAACATCTCGGGCCACGCGCTGGAGTCTCTCGGCGTGCTCATTCGGCAGGCCAACACCTTCTTTCAGGAAGTGGTTCACGTGCTGAACGACAGGAAGCTCCTCGCCAACTGGGGCAAGACGACGGTCCTGGCGCTGTCCCTCAGCCTGCAGGGGGACCTGTGCAGCCAACCTGGGTGGCCGCTGCCGCCAGCTGCCTTCGCGTCGGGGCACCGCGACCTGGGCGGCGACATCTTGGCGGGCAGCTGCCGACGGTTTGCGCCCCAGGTCGCAAAACAGGTGGCAGCGTCCTGGCAGGCGGCGAGGCCCACGAGGATCTTCGGACCTGGGCCCCGCCAGGCGCGGGTCACGCGCGCTGTCCCCACCGCCAAACCCTGTTGGGGATCGGCCACCCATGTCTGGCATCCCGCCTGGGCGCACGAGGGCGCTGCGGGCGGCTGCCGCGAAGAGCGCCGGGCGTCTGCCAGCGGGCCTCGAGGTTGGAGGCAGGACCCGCTGGCGCTGGCCACAGGCTCGGCAGTGCAGGCCAAATTCAGCATCCGTTGGGCGGGCCAGATCCCTGAGGCAGTCGTGCAGGCCTGCCTGGCCGAGCGCCGACTTGCGCGTCTGGGGCCGCGGCCATGGGCGGCGGCTCGCATTCCGATTGTTGCGCTAGTCCTCACCATGGAGCGCATCGGGCGGGCCCTCTCAGACGACGGCCGCTGCGTGCAATTCGGATTCGGCCTGTCGCTCGACGTCCTGCACTTCTCGCCAGTCTTCCTGGCGGAGCGGGACAGAGGCCACCGGGGGGGCGGCGGCGCTGGGGAATTCGAGGGCGCGGCCAGGCGCACTCTGGCCTTGGCGTCTTCCTCCTTCCTGGAGGCCAGTCGACAAGCTCCCGGGTCGACCTTCCGCGGCCACCTGGGCGAAACACCACCAGAGTTGTCTGCGCTGGCTTGCGACGCTATCTCATTGGCCCAAGGAGAGGCTTGCCAGGCACAGGCACGAAGTCGACCCAAAGTGCCAGCTGCGCGGAGAAGACGGGTGATCGGCATTCCACCGCCACCATCGCTGCCCAGCGCGGGGGCCTGGCGGCGTGACGGGCTGCCTGTCGACCTTCGCAGAGCTGCCGAGCTGGTTCACAAGATGGGCCCTTTCTTCGACGAGCCGTTCAGCCAGGGCCCCTTCGGAGACGTCGAGCTGCTCTTCAGGCGCCCAGCCTGGAGCCCCGAGCGGGAGCGTGGCGCCCTTGGCTGGGGCGGGAACCTGGCAGCCCCAGACGGCACCCTAGTGTTCACTGGCGGCTCCTGCGTCCTCAGCGACTTCCGCAGGTGCGGCGTGCTCGCTGGGCAGCGATCGTGACAGGTGGGCTGGTTGCCGCAGCCTGGGGCGCGGTGCCACCCGACCTCCTGCCATCCCAGACCGCCAGGGCGGGTGGGGACTATGCGCCGGTCGTGGCGCTTAGGACATCATTGGCAACTACACCCTGCACATCGACTGCCTTCGCACGGCCATGGTCACGCAGGACATCCGACGAGCCGTAGGCCCCACATCGACAAGCGCCCACATCTGGGCCAGGGTCGGAGACTCAAAGGAAGGGGCGGAGGTCAAGCACACCCCAGCCCACCGTTCCTTCGCGGCCGCCAGGAGGGGCGAGATCACGGCGCTCGCGCTGCAGGGCAGCCGCCTCGCCGACAGGCGCGCCAAGGAGGGCGCGGCGCGCCGGGCGCCAGGGGGGGGCGGCCTCTCGCTGCTCCTGGAGGGGCGCCTCGCCAGGGCTCGCGACTCGGCCGCTGGCCCCTGGCAGCCCTGGGGGGCGTCAATTCGGAGGAGTGGCCCGAGAGCGACCCCTTCTCTGCGGCGCGGGACCAAACAGGGGCGCAGGTGGCTCTAGGTTGGGCGGCGGCGGCGGCCGCGGCGGGGGCTGATGCGGCCTCGCTTGCGCTGTCTGGCTCGGGGGGGCGAGCCACTCGCTAGCGCCCTGCGGCCTCGCCCACGAACGCGGAAGCTGGCGAACGCGGGCCCATCGCGCGCGCTCGTGCCAGGGTGTCGGCAGGCACTGGCCAAGGGGCTCTGGCCTCTAGCCTTTCTGCGGCCGAAGGCTGTCTGGAGGAGGGGCCGTCTCCCCGGCCTCCAGCTCCCTGAGTCCAACATTGTTTGCCTTTGGCCGCTCAAGGCTACGCTCTGATGCAATCCCGGGTGGGTTGGTCAGGCCGAGGTTTTTCTCGTTTGCGCGGCGCGCTACGTGTGCCGTCGCCAGCCTCGGCGCGCTCGCCGAGGGCTGGCCAAGGAGTGCTCGGTCTCGGGCTGGAGGTCCTCGCAAGGCTCGAGGGCTCAGGCCCGAGCGGATTGTTCGAGGCGGGCTCTGCCTGGCGAGGAGAGGGGACTCATCTCGGAGCAGGCATCGCCCTCGGCGGCCCCTGGGGCCAAGTGGGCACAGGCGCCGGGCATCCTTGGTGCCTTTGTGGGGGCTGCCTGCGCCCGAGGACCGCCTGTAGCAGGGCCTGGGCATCTGCCTGCGGGGAGGCCTGTCCAGCTCGTCGCGCCAGCGCTCGAGGGGGTGCTCGCTCCGTTCGGCTTTGCTTCCGCCCAGGAGGCGCGCGAGCGAGGCCGCCTTACAGCGGCAGGGAGAGCGGCGAGGGCTGGTCAGCGCGAGGAGGTGGGCCTCTGGCCCGTGAGGCTGAGCTGGGGCCGAGGAGACAGCGCCTGCCCCCTGCGGGCCCCTCCTGGGCGACTTCTGTCTGCATTCAGTTGCGAGCAGGCCGTCTTGGCCTGAGGAGGTACAAAAACGCACTGACCGCGAGTGAATGCAATTTCGCTTTGAGCGCTCTGCACGGCTGGTCAGAAGGGGTTTGGCCTTCCACGGCGTCGCGGCGCACTGCCCGCTGGGAGTATGGTTGCACGCTGCGTCTGCTTAGGCCTGCGCCATCGGGCCCCCTCGGCGACGGCGCGGCTCGGCGCCCGTCGGTCGGGCCTCCCCCCTGCCTCGGCGACGCCGTGGTAATGCCCGCAGGCGATCAGCATTCGTTACTACGAGTGGTCCCCGATGGCGCAGCTCATTTCCACTGCTTGCGAAAAAATCAGAAAACAGGCGCTCCAAACATGCGCGCGCACGCTCGCATACATCTCGCATCGTGTGCTCTGGCACGGGGCGCGCTGGCAATACATTGCTTGTGTGAGGTGTTCCAGGGACCCCCCTAGCAGCAGCAGTGCGCGCGGTCAACTTTATCCGAGATGTTCGGCCTTTCGGGGCCGCCCAGGGCCTGGCAAGGCCCACGCCCTTTGGGGTGCCCGCTCTCTGGGAACAGGGGAGGATATTGCTTTCTGCCAGAGGTGCGGAGCTTACTGCTCGGGCGCCCCTCGTCTCTTGGGGCTTTGTGACAAGTTTGCCAAGGCCCAGAAAACCAAACAAAAAACAATCTCGCGTCGGAGAAATTCCCGTGGCCGAAGGGCCACCATATCTCATTGCCCTGGCCCCCCAAGGCGGGTGCGGCGGAACGGCGGGGGGTGGTGACCACAGGCGTCTTTTGCCGGCCCTCATTTCTTTTCCTTTCAACCCTTCTTCGGGCTTGTTCGTCGGTGGCTGCCGACGCGGCGCAAAAAACAGAGGGGGGAGGAGGCGGAGGCGGAGGCGGGGGCAGAGGCGGATGCGGAGGCTGAGACTGCGGCGGCGGCTACGGATGCTGCGAAGGCGGCGGAGAAGGAGGAGAAGGGGGATGGGAATGGGGAGGAGGGGGAGGAGATGGAGAAGGAGGAGCTGGAGGCCGAGGAGAGGACGAGGACCAGGAGGAGGAGGGGTTCCACGACGACGATGACGACACCGACCGACGGACCGACCTACCGAAGACCGACCGACCGACCAGCCGACCGACTGACCGACCGACGACGGGCCGACGACCGACGACCGCCAACCGACGACTTACGATCGACGACCGAAGACCGTCGACCCACGACCGACGACGACGGACGACAGACGACAGACGACCGACGACCGAAGACCGACGACCGACGACCGACGATCAACGACCGACGACCGACGGACGACGACGACCCAGGACCGACGACCGATTGACGACCGACGACCGACGACGGACGCCGGACGCCGGACGACGGACGACGACGCCAACGCCGACACCGATACCGACGCCGACGCCGACGCCGACGCCGACGCCGACGACGACGGAGCCGACGCCGACGCCGACGCCGACGCCGACGACGACGACGACGTCGACGTCGACCGACGACGACGACGACGACGACGACGACGACGACGACGACGACGACGACGGCGACGACGACGAGGACGACGACGACTACGACTACGACCGATGATGAACGACGGCGTCGACGCCTACAAAGATGAGGACCAGGACGACGTCGCAGGTGGCGGTGAAGACAACGGCGCTGGCGACAGCAGCGGCGCTTAATCATGTCGGCTTCTGCCCCCGATCCGGGCCCTTGTCCCTGGACGCCCCACGACCCCAGGCCTTCAGATGCTCCATGGCGGCCGAGAAGACCCATCAATTCTCCGAAGTGGCGCGGTAACCTCTCGCCTCGATCCCCCAAGGCAGGGGTCAAAACTTAGCTGCGGCGGGCGGCGGCGATCGAAGGCCGCCGAGGGAGTCGAGGGCTGTCCAGAGCTTACCGATTAGCCGATTCCGTTTCCGCTAGCTGCTCCTCCCTTGGCTGGCCGTGCCGATTCCGCCCGTTACAGTCAACCCACATAATAAGCATGGGCAATTTTCCCAAGGGTATCCTTGCATGCTTGCCTCCTCGGCCCATCCATGGCGACTGTCGCTGGCCAATCTCGTTCGAAAAGCGTTCTCATGGCCTTTCAAGGTCTCTGCATCCTTACCGCTCATCCTTATGACACGGGTTGACTGTACTAGTACTGGCCGCCGACGGCCAACGAGGCCCATCGGGGGCACGGCAGCGGCGGCTGCCCCCCTCAAGAGGCTTGCGGCGGCCCAGCCCACAGCTGCGCGGGCGCGCGCTTCACCCCGCGCGGCGAGCCGGGCCGGTGCCTGGGCCGGGAAGCAATCGCCGCAGGAGCAGGCCCTCTCGGGAGGAGGAGGAGGAGGAGGAGGAGGAGGAGGAGGAGGAGGAGGAGGAGGAGGAGGAGAAGGAGGAGCAGGAGGAGGAGCAGGAGGAGGAGGAGGAGGAGGAGGAGGAGGAGGAGGAGGAGGAGCAGGAGCAGCAGGAGCAGGAGGAGGCGGTGAGGGATGCCCCCAAGTTCCCCCCGCGTGCACATGCCGCCAGAGAGAGGGGGTGAGCGTGCCGCCGACGCTCCCAAGGCGTTGGGTCTGGCGCCCGCCTCCTCCTCCTCCTGCTCCTCTTCCTTCTCCGCTGCTTCATGCTACGGGGAGGGGGGAGGCGATGGGTAGTGGATGGGTGCTTGCCTCCTCGACCCCCTCGGCTGGTCGAGGGCGCGCGGCGTGGTGGACGCGACGGTGACCTTTGCCAGTGCGAGCGCAGCAGCAGGAGGAGGAGGAGGAGGATGAGGAGACTACAAGGACCAATGCATGGAATGTTTTTCCACCCGCCAGGCTTGCCCAAGGGCTTCTTACCTGTTCTCGACGAACGGGTAAGTGCTGGGCCAGGCCTGTGCAGGCCAGCTTCCCCCAGGGTTGCTTGGCCGTTGTTCATTGTGGTTTTCCCGAGGTTGCCTGGTCTTGTTCCCTTACTGCGGCGTTCCCCGTGTTTGTTTGGTCATGTTACCCTACTGCGTTCCCCTGGGTTGCTTGGCCTTGCTTCCAAGCAGTGTCAATGATGCCAACCCGTTAACACAAGCAACGCCAAGGAACGCCAAGCAACGCACGGCAGTGCCCAGCAACGTCAACCAGTGCCAAGAAATGCCAAGCAACAAAACGGCAATGCCAAACAACGCCAATGCGCCCATGCAAGAGAAAGTTGTTCCCTCATTGGGGCCCCGCCGGATTCATTCTGCTTTTTGAATATTCCGTGGGGGTCCTCGTCGCCACAGCTCGATCCGCAATTGAGATTCTGGTCAGACAGTACTCCCAGAAAAGTTAGGGGATCGTTTTGTGACGTTCGAGGAGGGGAAGGAGGAGGACGGGGGGGAAGGTGGGGAAGGAGGAGGAGGAGAGCAGAACGAGGGACACGAGCTTCTGCTGTGTCGCCTGTTTGCCATGTCGCTGTTGTGGACCAGGTGGAGCCAAAACGAGACCTTCCGCCGGTGCCCCTGCCGTCGTTGACGTTACTGGCCTTGCTTGGACGTTCTGCCAGGCCTTCGTCGCCACGGCTGGATCGGTCTCGAAGTCAGATGAGGAGCCCGTCACGCCGACCCTCTCGGGGCAGACTTTGCGGTTCCAAGCGGCTCCACAGATCTTCAACGATGGGCGCAGGCTTCGGCAGGTTGTCCAAGTGTGCCACCTGGTTCCGTGGCGAACGAAGAGGAGGACGGAGGACGGAGGAAGACAGAGGACGGGAGGGAATGTGGGAGGATGAGTTTGGGATCCAGGTTTGGTCAGAACTGCCGAGGTTCGGATCCGATGAGGACACGCTGGACGTGGCCCCAGCTGGTACGGTGTTCAAGGACCGTAACAAGCAAAATGCAGGACGGAGGAGCCAGGACGATCGAGGAGGAAGGAGGGGGAGGATGATGATGATGAGGAGGAGGAGGAGGAGATCGACTGCGATGATGATCGTGCGAGGGAGGATGCCGAGAAGGAACGAGCAGAAGGCGGGGTCAGATGATGATGCTGGTGATGATGATGATGATGATGATGATGATGATTATGATGATGATGATGATAATGATGATGATGCTGATGATGATGATGGTGACGATGATGATGATGATGATGATGATGATGATGATCATGATGATGATGATGATGATGGTGATGATGATGATGATGATGATGATGATGATGACGATGACGATGATGATGATGATGACGATGATGGTGGTGATGATGATGATGATGGTGATGATGATTATGCTGATGATGCTGCGGAGACATTCCGACTGCCAGTAGTGCCGGTTACGGATCCGATTTTGTTTCCGGATTGGTATACCCGAGAATTCTCAGATCGATCTCCAGTCATTCTCGTTGGGGGGGGGTAAAGATAGATTTCTCAGCGCCGCGCTCACTCTGTGCAATAATGTGCAACCGTTTCAAGGATGGAGGGCGTGTCGGCTTGAAAAAATAGATCTTTCGCCCTAGCGCCGAGCACATTCGTTCAAACAGTTTGCAACCGTCTCCAGGATGTGATCGGTTTTTGATTCATTGTTTTGCCGATCGGCGCGGGCCCAAAAACTCCACCTCTCCCCCCCATGGAGTAGATCTTAGCTATTTTTCGGCGCCTGTTTCGAGCGGGTGGAGTCTCCCCCAGAGGCCGCACTCTTGCAAACAGTCGCACTAAGAAGAGGTCTGGAGCCAGACCCCCCCCTCCCTCCCCCCTTGCCGCCCAATGTCGAAACGCCGAATAAAAAATGCTCACGATTGATGGGGGGCTCGTTTTCGAAATATGGTTACCGCCTTAGCAGCAAGGGCTGATTACAAAGATGGAGGGCGGTTCCTTTTCACACAGCGGTTCTCGCCTCGGATCGCATTGGTGTCTCGCAAACTGTTTTCTCAATGTCCGAACAGCTTCAAGGCTGGAGGGTGGGCCCTTCTTCAAAGTGCTGCTCTCGCCTTCGCGGCGCGCACGTCTGCAACGGCTGCAAGGATGGAGGGCTGTCTGTTGAGAGCCTTCGCCTTAGCGCTGCGCGCATTCCGTTAACATGCTTTCAACAGCTTCCAGAATGGGGGGGGGGGGGGGCGCCGTTTGCCTGGTACAGCTCGCGCCCTGGCGCCACGCGTGCTCGTTGCAAAAGTCTGCAGAAGGGCGGGCCGGGCTCAGAAGAGGGATCGCTGCCTAGTGTCGTGCGCATTCGTCTTGAGAGTTTGCAGCAGTTCGATTGGCAAGGACGGCCCTCTTCAACCGTCGTATACATTCGGCAGAGGGAAACAATTTAGTAACCACCCCCCTTGGCCCCCCAAACTTACAGTTGGCACGCGCGGGTGAGACTGCGGTCGAGGTGCAACTCATCAGACCCACCGCCAACTTTGAACATTGGGGGGGAGGGGGAGGCTTTGACCGATGAATGTGCCATGAGTGTTCGCTATTGTTCTCCGAGGCCTGTACCATGAAAATCTGGTAGTCGCCGTTTTTTTCTCCTCCTGGCGAATTGAACTTGATCCAAGCAACAGACGGGGACACCATGTTGTCTGACTAACACGACGGCCAAAAGTTCTGCATGAAATTCTACAGCCTTGCACCTGCCCGCCCAATCGGGGCCTGTTGAACCATAATTGTTAGACCTGCGAGGCTGCACGGATCGAGGGCGGCCCTTTTGCCAAGTCGAGCCACCGCTTTAAGTGTTCTTCGAAGTGCATGACCAGAGGTGTAAATGTCTGCAACAGTTGCATGGGTGGGGGGGGGGGCCTTTTCGGTTCGAGGGAGGATCTCGCAACCCCAGTGGAACAGGTACTTCGCTTGTTCCGTTCTCTTGGCTGCTTGACAGAAAGGGTTCGCAGCGGAACCTTCCCGACGCGGCGCCCGCGCCAACCTGGCGGGCCCAGAAGGCGCTGGTCTTTCAGCGGGGGCGCTCGATTCAGCGAACAAGAAAGCCTGTGGGTACCTGAGAGGTCACCACCCACCAAACCACCCCAACCCAACCCGAAGGCTCAGATTTACCCTCGATTTCCAGTGGGGGGGGGATCGGGAAACATCGAAAAAACACGTGTGGAACCCTTACCACCCCCAACCCGAAATTCGGGTTGGGGTGGTCTGGTGGGTACCTGAGAGGAGGGGGACTCGGGACGGGAGCGTGTCCTGCAGCATCGCTGACGCATCTGGGGTTGCTTTGTTTCTCCTCCTCCCTCGTTTCCCCCTCGGGCAGGAGACGCTGCAGGGCATCGGGGCCCCTGACCGCGACGCCCTCCTGTCCGCGGCTCGGCGCGCTGGCTCCGCGGCCCGTCGCCGTCGCCGTCGTTGCCTGCCCAGGTTTTAAGTCGGGCCTGTCCGTCCACAGGAGGAGTATTCGAAGATAGTACAACAATAGTCTTGGGACGATGTTTTGTTTAACATATGTTTGACTGGGTTGGAGTACGTGTCGACTAATGTTTATTTTTCGTCCACAACCCCCCTGCAGGAGGACATGCCCGACCTAAACCTAGGTTCGGTTCGGCTCGTTCCCAATTTCAGTTTCCAGGGGCAGTTTTGCGGCCCCGTGGCCACGGATAACGGACCCCCGACGAAGCTGCACCAGGGAGAGGGTTCGAGACTTCTTCTCGTCGTCGTTGTCGTCGTCGTCGTGATCGTCGTCGTCATCGTCCTCGTCCTCGTCGTTGTCGTCGTCGTCCGTCGTCCGTCGTCCTCGTCGTCGTCGTCGTCGTTGTCGTCGTCGTCGTCCGTCGTCGTCGTCGTCGTCGGCGGCGTCGTCGTCGTCGTCGTCGTCGTCCGTCGTCGTCGTCGAGGTTCCGAAGGGGATCTTCGCAACATGCTCTGCGTCGGGAGGGGCGCGCTTCGGGCCCCCATGACCGCCAGAAGTTGGCTTGGGACGAAGAAGCTCTCGGGACGGACTGGAGGGGGGGCTGGGGATCGGCTTGGAGCGGATTTCGGTCTTCGTCGTCGTTGTCCCAGTCGTCGTTTACGTCGCCGTCGACGACGGCCTTGCCCCCCCATCCAGAACGGTCGGACCGAGGCATAAGATCGAGGTCGGTTCGGGGAGGGTATATGATTTTTCTTCGTGCTGGTTGGAAATGTGTGTGCATCCTGGGGGAGGGTACCCTCGAGTGACCCTACGGTGTGGGGTGAGGGTGCCCTCGAGTGATCGTATGGTTTGGGGTGTTCTGGCCGGCGCGGGGCCTCATGTTCTTGAAGGTTGTTCTTCTGTCCTGGGCCTGGCTGTACTACCGTCGGGCGGGGCCAGGACGAGGATGTATCCGCTCTGGAACGCGCAGAGAAGGCCGCGGCGCCCGAGACATCCTCCAGGGCCGCCGGATCTCAGAGACTGTTCGGTTCATCCTCACCCAGTGTTCTCCTCGCCTGGGCCTCGTCTTGAACAGTCGGGTCGCTGAATAAGGAACCCTTTTCGTTTGGAAGGGGCTCAGTGTCCCTTCGTTGTTTTGCACCTGTGCTTAGATCCCCTCAGGTCTTCTACGAGAAATCGAATTGCAACTTATGGAAAAACGAGGCCTTGTTCCTTATGTAGGGTTCCTTCTGACAGCGCTTCGATCGTACCGCCGCCCCCCTTCTCCCGCTCCAGGTGGTGTCCCGCGCTAGCTACCCTGACGCCGTTCCTAAATTGCACGTGGTGGCGCAGCCATGCTGCGGTGATCTGGTTCGCTTTAGAATCATAACGTCGTCGTTGTTTACGGCGAAAAGAGAAACGCTCCAGGCTCTTCTTCTCCCTGCCCGCCCCATCTGTCGGCGCAGTGCAGCAGGGGCTGCCTCTGGGGGTTGTCTCTGCGCAGCCCCAGGCCTTCCGGCTCTCCTCCTCCTTCTCTGCGGCGCTGTATCGAACCATTGGCCTGCACGGCGGCGTTCAAAGCGCCCTAGACGTGATGCTGACTTCCCGTGGCTTGCTGTCTTGCTCTAAGCCCCCTCGAGTGGGTGCGGATTGCTTGGGGATGAGCGTGTTTGCGTAGAGAGAAAAAAAGAGAGCCCACCCCAGGCCTTGCCGACGTCATGATGGTTCCATGGCGCGGGCCCCTTCGCGAGGTCCTCCCAGCGTCGATCTTTCCTCGTGCGCCCGTGGAGCTTTGCTCCCATCCCCCTCGCCTCCCTGCCCCCCCTCTTCGCCCTCTTCGCTCCTCCCTCCCCCACGCTGCCCCCCCCCCCACACTCCCTCCGCCCTCTCCCTGGGAACGGCTTGTCATCAACAGCCGCTACTTGACGGTTCCGGGGCTCGGCGAGGGCCCCCCAGGGCTCAGGATGGCCAGAGCATCCCCCGTCGTGATTTTTGCCAATGGCTCGACGGGGGTCTTGGACGTCTGCTTCCGCCTCCCTCCCCCAGTCCCCCCCCCCCCCTTCAATGGCGCAGTTTGGCCGTAATCAGGTCGACGCGACGGCGTTTGGGCGCATTGGTCTGCCATCCCTGGCAATGGTTTGTTTCAGCGCAGGGCGTTACACCATGACAGATTGATCTGGTTCTGGCCGCATTCTGCCCGCTTTTAACGAGGCCCTGGCCATAGAAGTAGCCGAGACAAGTGGTGCGTTGACCATCGGCTGTCCGTGTCTCTTTCCCTTCTCCCTTGTCCCCCCCTCCAAGCGATCTGACGTGGAAGAACCCTTCTCGCGGCGGTGGCCGGCTCAGGTTCGCGGGCACCGCGAATGCCGTGGCGGTGCGCTGGCTCCTGGAGAGGGGCGCCTGCCTGGACGCCTGCGACGCGAGCGGCGCCGGGGGGCGAAAAATGGACGCGTGCCGGCGCGCTGCAAGGCTAAGGATGAGGGCGCGTAGGAGGCGGAGGAGGAGGAGGAGGAGGAGGAGGAGGAGGAGGAGGAGGAGGGGGAGGAGGAGGAGGAGGAGGAGGAGGAGGAGGAGGGAGGGAACGAGGAGGAAAGGGAGGAGGAAAGGAGAGAGAGGAGGAGGAGGAGGAGGAGGAAGGAGGAGGAGGAGAGGAGGAGGAGGAGGAGGAGGCAGGGAAGAGGAGGGGAAGGGGGAGGGAGGGAGGAGGGAGGGAGGGAGGGAAGGAGGGAGGGAGGGAGGGAGGGAGGGAGGAGGAGGAGGAGGAGGAGCAAGGCCGTGGGCTCGAGTGGGCTTGGGGAAACCCGCAGGAGTTCTGGCCTCAGGTGTGGCGGGATCCATCAATCCGTCCACGCGTTTTGTTTTTCTCATCCGACCCGCGTCGGTGGCAACACTTCGCCACCACGCCACATTTCTCTTTCCAGTCAGGAAGCTTCGCCCGCCCGAGGAGTCCTGGTACCGCAGGGCACGCAGGCAACGGGCGAACGCCCGCGTGCTACTGCGACTGGGAGCTGCCGCCTCGCTCCTCCAGCAGCACCGCAGCGCGCAGCAGTCCCAGCGCCAAGTGCCAACATGGACGTGTGTGTGTGTGTGTGTGTGCGGCGTGCGCAACGGCGGAGGGCACGCGTACTGCCGTGGCTGCTCTGGTCATTGGCGCAGCTGCTGCAAGCCCCGCAGCCGCTCGGCGACCCCGCAAGCCTCGCGGGCAGCGCGGACGGTCGGCCAGCCTGGCCAGGGGCGCGGCACCGCCGTGACGCAAACCAGTGGAGGAGCGCGCGGACTCGCCGCCGTACATCCGCATGGCCACCCCGAGCGAGGCCCTCTCACACCCAGCATACCAGCCACCAGCCCTTGAAACCCAAGCCGTCGCAGGAGGAGCTGCAGGAACACCTGGAGAAGACCAGGCTCAGGCTCCAGTTCCTCTGGGCGCAGCACCGCAAGCAGTGGGCTGGGAAAGAGGACGCCAGAGAGACGGGCCAGGAGATCGCAGTCCACAGGCGCATGCTCATTGGTCCACGGTCCCGGACGCCGCCGCCGACGACGACAAAGACAAAGACAAAGACAATTGCGACAAAGACGACGACGAACACGCCGACGACGACAGACGACTTCAAAGACGACGACGACAAACACGACAAAGACGACGACGACGACGATGACGCCTACGCCGACGCCGACGCCGACGCCGACGCCGACGCCACGACGACGACGACGACGACGACGACGACGACGACGACGACGACGACGACGACGACGACGACGACGACGACGACGACGACGACGACGACGACGACGACGACGACGGCGGCGGCGGCGGCGGCGGCGGCGGCGGCGGCGGCGGCGGCGGCGGCGGCGGCGGCGGCGGCGGCGGCGGCGCGGCACCACGCAGCACCACGCTGTTGCACCACGCTTCTGCAGCGTGCACGTACATCCGCATCCGCGCATCCGCATCCGCAAGCACCACCTCCGCAGGCACCACGTGGCTGCACGCACACCACCGCAGGCACCACTTCCGCAGGCTCCGCAGGCACCACCTCCGCAGGCACATCCGCGCGTTGGGGCACCCAAATCCGCAGGCACCACGCTGCTGCACGCGGCTTGCCGCAGCGGCAGCAGCATCCTGGTGCAGGACTCTCGGGGCTCGCCGGCGCCTCGCCTCGCCCTCGTGCCTCGTCTTCTTCCTCGTGCCTCCCTCCCGTCGTCCTCATCCTCGTTCTTCTCGTCCTCGTGCCTCTTCGCCCTCGCCCTCGCTGCGCCTCCTGGCTTCCCTCTCCCCCCCCCTGAGTGTCCTCGTTCCTGCTCGCTCTCATCATCATGCCTCCTGGTCCTTGTCCTCGTGCCTGCTCCTCCTCCTCCTCCTCGTTGCTTGTGTCTTCTTGTCCCAGTCCTCGTCCTTCTCGTCCTCGCGCCTCCTCGCCCTCGCTCTGCCTCCTGGTCTTCCCCCAAACAGCTTCCTCGTGCCCGCTCGCCCTCGTCCTCATGCATCCTGGTCGTCGTCCTCGTGCCTTTTTCCCGGAAAGGGCGTGGGCCCAGGGTTCTCTTTTAGTTGGTAAACCTAATCCCCCGGTGCCAACTTGAGGGAGGCCGGCGAATTTTTTCCCTGATAAATAACGAGGTCGAAGGAGGCCGGCGAATTAAAATTTGAGGATGTCTCGAGCGAAACGCTTGTTTTTGAAATCCCGATCGATAAATCACAGGGTGCGGGCCACTTTTTCGTGTGTTGAGGATGTCTCGAGCGAAACGCTTGCTCCGCAGAGTTTGCCGAGGATGTCTCGAGCGAAACGCTTGTTTTGCAGAGCCGACCGCGACGCGGAAAAGCGCCCCGCGCGAAGGAATTTCGATGATGTCTCGACTAATTCGTTTGTTTTTGTACGATTTCCTGGAATTTTTGGCAGGATGTCTCGAGCGAAATGCACGACCCCACCCTAGCACGACCATACCCCAGCACGACCACACCCCAGCACGACCAGACCCCAGCACGACCCCACCCCAGCACGACCCCACCCCATCACGACCAAACCCCAGCACGACCACACCCCAGCACGACTCCCGACCCCAGCACGACCCCTACCCCAGCAAGACCATCACCCCAGCGCACGACCACACCCCAGCACGATCCCGCACTCACCACAGGCAGCTGCACAACACACCTCGCACGACATAGCCCCAGCACGACCAACGCCCCATCACGACCACTCCCCAGCACGACCTGGCCTAACACGACCACCCCCGCCGCACGACCACGCCCCCAAGTCCGACACGCTACCCCCCGCACGTCACACCACCAGCACGACCCCAGAAGGGTCCCCAGCACGACCACACCCCAGCACGACCACACCCCAGCACCAGCACGACCACACCCAGCACGACCCGATCGATAAATCACAGGGTGCGGACCACCCCAGCACGACCACACCCCAGCACGACCCCACCCCAGCACGACCCCACCCTAGCACGACCACGCCCCAGCACGACCACACCCCAGCACGACCACACCCCAGCACGACCCCACCCCAGCACGATCACACCCCAGCACGACCCCACCCCAGCAAGACCACACCCCAGCACGACCGCACCCCAGCACGACCTTACCACAGCACGACCACACCCCAGCACGACCACGCCCCAGCACGACCACGCCCCAGCACGACCACTCCCCAGCACGACCAAGCCCCAGCACGACCACGCCCCAGCACGACCACCCCCCGAGCACGACCAGACCCCCAGCAGACTACCACTCCGGTGGGGGACGCACCCACCCACCAGCACTACCACACCCAGCACGACCACGTGCCCCAGGAGCACGACCACACGCCTTGGTTGAGTGGTTGCCTGCGTCTGCGAATGTTTCGTGGGGTGTCCGTCTCGTGGAATGTTTTCGCGGGGTGTCTTCGTGAATGTTTCGTGAGGTGTCTCGCGGAATGTTTCGTGAGGTGTCTCGTGGGATGTTTTGTGAGGTGTCTCGTGGGATGTTTCGTGAGGTGTTGCCCCGTTGGGTATCGTGAAAACGTGCCCATGCTCCACATGTCTATATCCCTTTCCGGGTTCGTGGTCCATCATGTTCTCCTCCTCTCGCTCCACGTCGTGCCTCCTCCTCCCGTTCCGCACGTTTCCCTAGTTTGTGTCGCACCATTCCTCCTCCTCCTCCTCCTCCTCCTCCTCCTCCTCTTCCCTCTATCCTCCCTCCCCCCCCCCTCCCTCCTCCTCCTCCTCCTCCTCCTCCTACCCTACCTCACTACCTCCTCCTCCCCTCCTCCGCCTCCTCCTCCTCCTGCCTCCCCCCTCCTCCTCCCCCTCCTCCTCCCTCCTCCTCCCCCTTCTCCTCCTCCTCTCTCCTTCTCCTCCTCCTCCTCCTCTCCTTTCTCCTCCTCCTCCTCCCCTCCTCCTCCTCCTCCTCCTCCTCCTCCTCCTCCTCCTCCCCTCCCCCCTTCTCCTCTTCTCCTTCTCCTCCTTCTCCTCCTCCTCCTCCTCTCCTCCTCCTCCTCCTCCTCCTCCTCCTCCTCCTCCTCCTCCTCTGGCGGCGAAGGTGGCCGCGAGCGGTGCGGGCCCCGAGAGGGCGAAGCGCGAAGTCGCCTTCGCGAAGCTTTGGAGAAAAAGCATCCCTTTGCAGGGCGACTGGAAAGTCGCCCCGCCTCGTCCTGAATCGGTTCGACGCGGAGCCGACGGAAGAAGGAGGGGAGGCCCAGCTCGATGTGGAGGCGGAGCCGCTCGCGCTGAGGGAGCGGCGCCAGCCCGCTGAGGCCATCGGCAGCTTCGCCCGGCTGACCAACCGGTTCGGCCTCGTGGTGCCGGGTGGCGTCCTGGCCGCCCCGCATGCGGTGCCCGCGGGGCCCGCGGTGGGACTGCTTCGCAAGGCGCTCGCCGCCGGTGCTGATGCGCCCGCGGCCGCAGCGGCGGGGGCGCGGAGGACTGCTGCGCGCGAGGGCGGCTTCCGCATTGGAGACGAGGTCCCCCGCCATGTCCCCGCAGGAGCGCCGGTGCAGGATCGTCACCTCCGCCTCGGTATCGAGCTGCGCTTCGCTCTTCGTGGAGCTGGCCCCGGCCTCCTGGCGGGCGGGATTTTGCCCTTCGGAAGTTGGCGGGTTCCGATGCCAGGATCCTACCCATCGAGCGGGGCGCCCAGGGCCGACGCGGCCTCGTTTTGAAACAGGATGGTCGAGATGACCCGACTGGAGGATTTCGGAGTTGATTGGACGCTGCCAGGGCCGAGGACTGCCCGCCGGCGCCGTCGCCACCCGCGGCGGGAGGGGCTCGGCATCGAGGGCCACCGCGGGCCCTCCCTCCAGATCTGCAAGCTTGTTTCGAGTGGCTGGGGAGCGCAGGAACATGTCAAGCCCTGCCCACAGCTCACGGGCGCCCTGTGCCAGGACCAGCTGGGACCAGCCCCATCAGCGTGGAGATGAAGGTCTGGATGTTGCAGGCGCTAGAGTTCGCCCGTGGTGGCAAGGCCAACGACGCCGAGAGCAGGGGTGTCGGAGGCAGGATGAGCCTCGAAGAGCACGCGGCTTCCGCGGGCATCTCGCGCGAGCTGCCGTCGGTGATGGTCGCTCCCGAGGCTATCGGCTCTGTCTGGGCTAGCGATGAGAATGAGGGTGAGCAACTCAAGAGCGTGCGCCTGACCCGCGAGGAACGGGGACCCAGGCGCAAGAATGGCTAAGCGGTGGATCCACGCTGCTGTCGGACGGGGGCGACGGCGTGGGAAGCGAACCCCCTTCCGACCTGAGCGCGGCCACGGGCCTGCTCGCGCTCGGGATGTCCGCGACGCGGGTCGGAGTCGCGCGCGCGCGATGTCTTTCCTCTTCCGCATCCTGGAGCGCGGGGTGTCCTCGACGGGGGCGCGGGCCGGGGCTTGTCCCGCGGTTCGCGGCGGCGGCCGGGGAAGCGACCCGGCGCGCGCTCCGCCGTCTGCCGCGCCGTGGGCCCCCTGGAGCGGCCTCGCGATTCGTGCGTTCGCTGCCGTCGTGGCCGAGGTGCATCCTGCGCGGTGCCCTCGCGCGCCCAGAGGAAGTGCTCGGACCGCGTCGAGGCCTCGGCGCAGGAGCGCGGTCCTCCACCTGCCTCACCTTCCCCCGCGGCGGCGCTTTCGCAGCTTCGCGTGGCCGGGGGCGCCTGCGCCGTCGAGCAGTGGCCCCTCGGAAGCTGCGACCCCGCGCTCCTTTCTTTGCCCGTCGAATTATTTGTTTAGCAGAGCGCGCTCATTTCGAGCGAAGCGGCTGCCCAGCTTCGCCAGAGTTCAGCGCCCGCGCCTTGCTTCATTGGTCCTGACCATGCCCTTGTCCAGGGTCGGCCTGGGTGAAAAGGGCCGCCCGCTCGATTGGGCGCTTGCCGCTGCGCCCGATCAGCCTGCCGCGTGCGCGCTGGTTCAGCATCTGCGCGCCAGGGCGCAACGACGCGCTGAATGGCTGGTTGTATGCTTGCAGACATGCCCTGGTTTGCGTTATGGACGTCTGGGGGCATCGGGGATGTCAGCGGGGTTTAGAACAGCATTGGAGTGGTGGTGCCTGTCCCGTTTGGGGACAGGCACCGCCGTTCCGTTGCGTTTGGGCCTGCCCGCAGGAGCGCCGCTGCAATCTCGCGCCCCCTCGGGGGCCGCTGCGGCCGCATTCGGGTGAGCTCTCGGGGGCCGCGCGTGCGCCCGAGAGCGATTGCAGCCAAGCGCCACCTCGACGAGGCACGGGATCGCACCGGGGGCGCCATCAACGCGCGTTGGCGACGGCACCCCCCGACGCGTGCCCGGGCCTAGTTGGTGCGACGCCAGGCGGGTAGACCAGGGGGCGCCCTTGGCGACCGCGCCCTGCGTTCGGGGCCCCAGGCGTTTGGGGCGAGCGCGGGATTGCATCAGCGCCCGCCCTGGACGCCCAGGATGCATTTTGCGCGTCGAGACCAAGCGCTCGATTGCGCGCCTTCGTGGGCGCACCTCCGAACGAGCTACTCTAGCCCGAGATCGACGAATGCGCGGTCGGCCACTCTGCCGATTGGAACGCGCACATTCGAACTCACGCGCCTTCGGCGCCAGCGGATGCCCGGAGAAGGCAGCGCCCTGCAATGTTCCATGGGCCTTCGCATCTGCGCATGTGCAACCGCCGTCAGCAGCGGCGCGTCGGCCACCCCGCCCCGCGCCGCCCCGCC